AACCAGTGTAATCTATGGAGGTCGATCACTTGCTCTAGTGGACGACCGCGACTGCCTAAAACTCTACGCCTAACCTCAGCATTGCTAGTCCGGTTACCCCACCAGACATGTGCAATGCTACGTAGACAGCGGTGTTGGAACACCGACAATCTATTTTTATCCTGTTCCTTTAGTGGCCAAGTCTCTGTTCCGTAGAGCAGGACTGGTCGAACTGCTGCAGCATACACTCGACCCTTCACAGATAACTGGATGTCGTGACGGCACCACAGATGTCTCAAGTTGGCGAATGACAACCGAGCTTTCTGGATCCGCGCTTCAGCTAAGATGCGTCCGCCGGGTGAGATCTAGCTGTCCAGATAACAAAACTGCTCGCTCTATTACTTCCCCAGTTAGGGTGAAGTTGGCTGCCGGACCAACCTAGTTTTGTAGTAGCCTTTCACACTTTGAAGGTGCAAACGCATACCGAATATGGCTACACTAGCACTCAAACTATCTAGATAGGCTTGCAACTGGATCTTCACTTAGTAGCACAATGTCGTTTGCATACTCTAAATCAAACAGCCTGCCACTTGGAATTAAATCGATGCCACTGTTCGCGCACGAGGATAGGACTGTTTCCATAATCAAATCTATAACAAAGTTGAATAGAAAAGGAGAGAGAGGGCAACCCTGACGAACACCACTTTCCGTGGTGAACTCGGGTGAAAACGTGCCGTAAGCTCCAGTTTGGCTTTGGCTATGAGTATAGAGAGATCATATTATTGGAGTAAACTTCTCGGACACACCCTTGAAGGAAAGCCAGCGCCAAAGTGAAGAGCGGTCGGGTGATCCGTAAGCCGCTTTCAGATTCAGGAAGACAGAGATGGTGGGTCTACGAAAGGAATGCCGGAGCTCCAGAGTTTGGCGAGGAGTGAAGATGTGGTCGATACAACCTAGACCAGGTCTAAATCCAGCTTGTGGCGCATGATAGTGCATGGTTGTACAAACTGAACTGAACTACACACCCAACGTAACATATTGTTCTTATTTTCATTGACTGATGTGCATTATTTCAGTTTCATTTTGTACAGCCACTAACCACATTCGTGCTCCGCAATTGGGTCCTGTCTTTTTGCTACCCATTAGGATGAAGCTGTGGAAGAAAGACAGGTAGGGTGAGAGTAGAGAAAATGGAGAATTTCAGTGGACTACGGTGGTAAGGAAATTGAGGAGATGCACTAACACTCAGCTATGTCATTCAGTATCTCTCCTCAGGTGTTACGATCATCCCGAGGTCCCCAAACAAGTCGCCTAACGGGGCTTATGTGACTCAGTCTTCTGGTGAGGGTTCTGATACCCTCGTGCTATGTCTTACCAGTACATTATAGTTTATACAGCCAGGATACATGATTCAGTAATCACTTAAGTGATTCAAACATTTCAGTAATTTATGTCCCCTTTTCCGAATGTGTTAGCACTGATTAAGTTGGATAAATTGTCACTGTGTGTACGTGTCCACAGAAGGTCATCAGGGACACGTATCGTACAAAGGATTGTCTTGCACATGCATCATCCAACTCGCCGATCAAGTCCTTTCTGTGTCCTGACTATGAGCCTATGGTGTCACAGAATGCATGATAGCAAGTGCAATCACTGAAAACGAGAAATTCCAATGGCTATGTGCCAATAATGATCTTCAGGATACTGAACCCAGTCGCTGAAAGAGTGAGTGGGTTATTTGCTTAGAGTCACGACAAACGCACGAAGCAAGTATTGTATCCGACTGTTCAACGCAGAATCGAACCCACGTAGACCGATTCTAGTATGCGGGACCTACCTGTTTGGTTATCCTCGTCCGGGGGCAAACTGGGGCGCGAGTTGCACAACCTCCGAATCAGCGTGCGCACGTATGTGTGTACCGTTGCAAAACTAGTGTGTATTCCCTATATCTTCTGCATCCCGAATACGGAAAGTTATCAGCCACAGAAGGTGATTGCTTGTTAGAAGAGAGAGAGGGATGGTGCTGGCCCAATGGTTTAGTCGCTGTCACCGACTTGCTTTGGACCTTATCGTTCGAGTTCTAAGCCCCGCCACCGCCACCCAACTTTGGTGGTAGACACCTGTGCTGTCCTCCGGTTCAATACCATGCCTAATCTATCAGGGCCTTATGTGGTTCGCCCCACTCCAAGTCCCGTGGCCGGTTTCCACCACTGAACAGCAGGTGACTATGGGTTTCGCCCCGTCGGCCGTTCATCACACGTGGATGTGTAATAAACAAAAAAGGTGAGATAGAGAGCTCAGAGATGGGTAGCTTTATTCATCTAACTCTGTAATGTTGACTGAAAAGTATTAAATAAACATCTTATGGATACATTGATAAATAATGGACAAGCAGCACACAGATCGTGAGTGAACAAATGTTTTCGACGTGTTTCTTCACATACGGCTTTAATCACATTCATGTGATGAGATAGCGGGAAGTTGTTGTGATAGGGCCAAACACTCCAGATCAAATTATTTTTAGTGAGAAGATGGAATTGGGGACATGTTTATCTTTAGTTTGCCTACGATCTGTGCTCTGGTTAAGACGATGGACTTATCTTGTAATTTGAAATAGGCAAACAGTGTGATACTCTGTTCTGGGTTTTTTTTTGTCGAGCCAAGCTAGCATAGTACAGTTTCAGCTTTTTCTACGAGGTACACTGAAGACACCTGGCACTGGATCGAAAATGAAGTAGAAGCTGGTTAATCAAATCCACTGAATGAAAAAAAACGTTCCAAGAATCACAGAGTTTTCCATTTCAATAATTGGTGTTCCATAAATTAAGGAGCCTGGATTGANCCCCCCCCCCCCCCCCCCCCCCCGCGCCTCACTGATTCGTGCAAGTTGGCTTGCAGTGCCTAAATCCTGTCGAATAATCTCTGTCAGTTGTTTCATCGTACTTCGGAATAGGATCACTCGGAACAAGCTGGATCCATTGTGTTTGTTCTTATTCATTCCGACAATTTTCTCATACGTTGAGGAAGAATCGTCTGCGCTATAAAACCCCAGGATATCTATGTGCGTTTGTGTGTGTGCGTATGTAAATGTCTAAACATTTCACCTGTACAGCGACCTCCCTTGGACTGCACCTGAATCATAGCTCAATTCTCCTACGCAGCACATGAATTTCACGGTTCGCATTAGGCCTGCAAACAGAGACTCCCACGTTGAACCAATTGCATCTCGATCTATGTGAACTGATTCTGCTCGTGTTGCTTTCCACTCACCATCTCTCGTGCGCGCCCACACAACTCATTTTCTGCGTTATGCTGGTGAAACTTGAATTTGTCGAAACAATCAAGTGTAGGATTTGATGTACCCTTCTTTCCAGGCATCACGATCGGTTTCAAGGACTTTGGACCAGAGGAGCGTTTAGAAATGGGTTTCGCACCAATCAAAGTGGTGGATGTGGTGGGATGTAAACGATCCCCCGGGTCGGTTCTTCATGACACCGACTGATCGGTGCTGTTGCATATTCCAATTCGGTATTGTCAAAGACATCTCTACCGTTTTGCCATTTTGAACCTGTAGAGAATAGAAATCTGCTTTGGAATGTGCTGCCGAAGAGAGAGAGGGACTATTCGGGCTATTGTTATAATTCACAGTCAACTAGCCAGTTTTTAATCGAACTCGGAATAAAAGATCGCCGGTTCGTGTAGCATCTCGCCTGAAATGCATGTGCAAATGTATGGTCTCCATGGGTTTACGGCTTATGGTTTTTCACATTGGCTTGTCGGTCCACGGCGCTTTTGATGTGCTGTCGATTTCTGTCTGTGCCATGTGAGAGGCACGATTCAGCGGTGTGGTTGTTGCATGTTGTTGCTCGAAGATCAATCTGTTACTTTGACATGTGTGTGAGAGAGAGAGAGAGGGCACGTATGTGAATCCGAACCCTCACCCCACCCCACCACCATCGCTGCGAGCGCGCCTCCAGATGACTCGTGATGTGTGTGTGTGTGTGTGTGTGTCACACAGGTTCCAGATCGGGCGCTGCTCTGTGCAATCCACCGCGCTCAGCTGATTAAACAGTTGTCGTCGTCGTCGTAGTTTGGGTGTCACACCGCGTCCATGTGACAAAACTGTAACCGACTCGTCTCCTTTGGATTTTAATCAAGGAGAACGCATCTAGTCAGAGGTTCCTCCTCACACGTACAAGCGGATTGGATGCAAACCCTGAATTTGCATAGATCAAATATTAGAATGCGGCGTATTTTTTTTCGACACCGGCGTATGAGTTTAGTTTGTATGTACCTGTCGATGTGTATGACGAAATTCGAAAGTATTGTCGGTAAATCTCGTCTTCATAGAGAGAATAATCTGATTGGGTCGAACGAAGAACAAGAGAGATTAGCTTTAGCATTTCTTCCAATCTCTTCAGTCGCTGCGGAGACAACTTGGTATTAGTGCAAGACTGTTTTGGTAACTATCGTGTTTCAACAGACAACAGTCAGCCGAGCGGAATCATTCCTCAATAAATTGACTAATTACGTCAGAATGTTTTGTTCACAAAAGATTAGATAGCCTAAATTGACTAGCATCGTTTCGTTGGATGCTAGAGTCTAGAATAGTCTAATAAAATCCGAGAAAAAAAAAGTATTCACCACTTCTCGCGGTCATTTCACTGGCTCTTGTGCAGTTCTTTTTTTAACGATTTACACCTCAAATTCGTCATCTGAAGGAGGGGTCTAGCATGATAGCCGAGGCCGTTTATATCAATCGCGCTTCAGAATCTGTCGTTGTTCTCATAGATTTGTTAGTTAACATCCACTGCCCATTGAGTCATTCCACGGTTGGTTGAGCCGAGAGGCAATCAGAAAGCTCCGTTCCGAAGGCCGATTGACTTACTGCTGGCCTTGTTTTGTGGGCATCCATTACTGGTGGTCTTATTGCGATTTTTTTACCAGGTGTAGGGAGAGGCGAACTCGTTACACAGATCGGTCCATGTCCACAAGTCTTGATCAGGTGAGCAGCAGTCTTCAATAGACCCTCGGCAGCAGTGTTTGATGGCGATTTGGGCCCATCGCTGTGAAGACGTTGGCGGCTTCCAAGTAGGACGGTATCTTTATTATGCGAGAAGTTAGTGCTTCAGAGGAACAATCCGTGTTCCGCGCAAAGTTGAAACAGGCAATATCCATTGTCTGTCCGATTGGCTGGCTGGCTGGCACGTGATTTCCGATTCCTTCGGTGATCCCACTTGAGCAATGAAGTCTAACGACTTCCTTTTATCGATCACTTTGGAATTGTTTCGATGGTTCCATGTAGAATTCATTCTTCATATTTTTTTCTTTTCATTTTACTTCTTTTTTATTGAATAAACAATGATGCAATTTTCAGGAAGGGGGAAGCGGCCAATTAAAGGGCTGCCATACCACACACAAAGTCAGGCGGTGGTGGTGGGATTCGAACGCTCGTCCTCCGGGGTGTGATAATTTGGTGACGTTACCACCGGGCCACCATTGCACTTGGTTGGTGCGTACACGTACACAACGAATGAGCACCGACGCTTCGTTATCTAACTGTTGACCTGTACTGAACCATCGAGATGTACATACAGCGCACAGTCGACTACGGAACTGGAATCCAGTAAAGAAGCGAGGGCTCAGTCTTGACATTTGACACAACACTGCGAGCTTCGGATACCGAGTCGCCTGACATGGAGAGTGCATATATACATATGTGATATATCGATAGGAAATTTCTTCGCCAACAGCGTTTTCTACAACTGTGTTTGTAATCTTTCATTCGTCTTGCAACAACTAACAATTGTGACTTGTTTTTACACGATCAGCAAAACCGAATATTCGGCTTTCTTTATCGGGTACACAACGGATTCAAGATTGTGTGTTAGTGGATCTTTTTCCTTGTTTGTCCCAGTTTTTTCGGGTCAAAGCACACAGAAACCGCAGCCGAAACTTCTACTTGTACAGTGTAAAGCAACTGGTAGTATTTGTATCTTTCTCTCAATTACCCCTGCACCATCTCCCGTTGAGAATGTGGCTCATAATTATTTTTGACTAATGAATGAGCATTTCAAAAGTGCATCAGCTGTTTCGCGTTGTTCATCGGCGAACACGTGTGTTTGTGTGCGTGCGGATTTGATTGTTTTTGTTTGCTTTTTTGTGATAATAGCATTGCGTTTCGTTATGCTAACTCCTATCTCTTGGATCGGTTATGACAAAATACGGTATGATCGATGGCCTGTCCGTAACCATCGTTACTTACACTAACAAATTGTTTCGTCTGAATTGTGTGTGCGAGCGCGCGCGCGCGATCACAAATGATCAGCTCAGCTGACTGTGTTGATCAGGTAATCAGTCACTTCCTTTCTTGTCGAGGACTTTCGGAGTGAGAATTGACTAACAGCTTAGTAGTAGTCATCTTATCGGTGATCCGGGGTTCATCTAAAAGAGTGAAAAATGAGCCGGTCTCTGATAGCCTATTCACTGGTATTCGGCGGAGAGGGAACCCTGGAGAAAGGGTGGGGGGTGGGGTGTTCACCATCCTATCGCTGCCGGTATTGTGCTTTCGAATCCAAACACAACTTCATCTGACCTTCTGTTCTTTCTGTCACTTGACAGCCCTGTGATTGCACACTTCCACCTTCATCAAAGTAGTTTTTTGAGGGTTATAAATTTAATAACAAACAAAGTCAAACAACAGACAAACAAACAGGACATCCTCTTCATGACAATGAAACGCATGACAGTTAAACTGTCCTTCGACCCCAAGAAGTGTGTGTGTGATCCATCCTTCGAGGTCACAGATTTTCAGTTTAATCTGGATTATGATCAACATTAAATTATTATGGTTGCACAATTTTTTTCACCGGGGACTAACTGATCACTTTGCGATTAATTTCGAATTTATATCCCACGACCAGGGTGCAATTAGGCCTGATCTGCGGGGTTAAACGAAAAGAATAAGCATCTTGATCCAACAAACGGGGCTTTGCAACACTTCGAACTGCCGCCGTTTTAGACCGGACTACACCATTTCCTGTTACACAAAGAGCTCACTCAGCTGCATTGCACAAAGCGTCAAGGTGTGCAAAGGTCACAGAGATTCCCCCTTAATAGGAACAAACAGGGACACTGTAGAGCAGCATTTGATAAACTGTTCTCGAGAGTTCTTATAAAAAATTAATTTGGTATCCATGAGACCGACTCACTCCATAACAAGCCACACAACACCGAGTAGTAGCTCGGCCACACAAGAGTCACATTTAATCGGGGTTTAGTCTGGGGACACTTTTGTTCCCTATGGCACCTGTACTAGCTCCCGGCGGCCTGGAGAGCCGGTCGCAACTACTAGTCTGTTTGTGAAGGTTCTCCTTGTTAGCTTTTCCGTTTCGTTCACCCTGACAATATGATAGACGCATTTGGCCTAATTAGATATCGGTTAAGCCAGTCTAAACGTATGTTTCAGAAAGCTCAGGGCTGATGACCGTGAAACTCGATGTGCACATCGCGGAAGATGACTTCTAACGAACACAATGAGTCTGTTCAGTGTTCCAGCTCGTTTCATTTCTCCACACCTGGTATTGTTGTTGTTGTTATTGGTTCGGGGATCATAGTACACCGCTGGATGTTTGTGGCCCGTCCAACTGATTGGATCACATGCAGGATTTGAAAACGAACATCCATCCACCAGTTGCATACACTTTTCTGTCCTGGACTTATTAACAATCCGATATTTTCGTAACATGAAAAACAGGCTTCGCTTAGTCACGTCACCCATTCACCGTCCATCCACGAAACTCATTCCACTTAACCCCTTCATGCATCATCCACAGATCTCCAACGGCGCCGCACTGACCACCCTGAGTCGACTATTTCGTGCAGGCAATGTCAATTTACGCTCAAACACGACCACAAGACAAACTCCACTCATGATGGCTGCATCGAACGGATCTCGGGAGGTTGTGAAGTTGTTATTAGAACACGGGGCGCAGGTCAATTTGCAGGATACCTCAGGCAATACAGCTCTGATGTTTGCTTTGGAGAATGGGGATCTGGTCGTAATCAGCACGTTATTGGAAAGACCGGAGTTAGACTTGAGTTTACTGGATAATGTGAGTTCCGTTCGTATCTACCTCTGTCTGTTTCTGTCTATTTGATTTTGAAAAAAATAATAATTCTATCGAGTTTTTTTCTCCACCCCTTATTAGGATGGTCAAGATGCTCTAGCAATCGCAAAGTCGAAGGGGAATATACTCGCCTGCGATTTGATTGAACGTACACTCGCAGGTCACCGGGTAAGTATTTGCATCCCTCTAGACTGATTTACTGATTTGACACTTACAGTTTTGAACTCGTATGCCCGGTTCACGGTGTAGTTTCGTGCTTCGATTTTTGTGCAGTTTACTGCCGAGTGAACCAACCAGTTATTCACAAATTAAACAGATAGACATGAACAGTTCAAAATCTTTTTGTTCATTTAGTGAGTACAGTGTACTAGTGTACAGTCAACGGTTGCTTGCTTGGTGGTATAGGAAAGATGGGAAGTGCTGATGTGATTCGAACTCAGGTTCCCTAGATCACCATTTTGATGATCTTAATTAAGTGGCCACCGCACTCCGCAACCGTTTCTCCCTACCTACCTTGTCTTTAACTGATCGCCTTCAGTTTTGTTAACAAGAGCTTTTCACCATGCAATTTGCGTCTGCTCTGTGTTTATGATATCTATAAAAAGGTTATGGGTTCTCCATAGGCAAATCGTACAGTTCGCACGCCATGGACCTCTTCTCTGAGCCCTAATTCTACGCAGTTTATGTTTGTACAACCCATGTACCGATACACTTCCGTGCAGTGCTTTTGATTGTTCTCTTTGTCTATCCACTGGAATGGAGGGAAAGAAAGTTGGAATGTTGAAAACACTGTCCAAAAGAAAACGGAGAATTTCAGTAGGTCGGTTGCACAGAAATGGAGAAGGCACACGGGTATCACTGTTTTCGACATTCAGTCATGTCGCTCGGTGTTTCTAACTATTGATTGACATGATCCCGAGGTTCTCATCTGGGAAGCCTAACGCGATCTATATGGACAAGGTTGCTGGCCAGGGTTTCCATACCCTCATCTTATGTCCCACTGATTAGTATATAGTTCATACTTGTCTGTCAACAAACAGTGTACGAAGCAAATCACGGTACAATAATCTTAATAAAAAAGACAAACGGTCCATGACTCGCTTGTGGACTGAATATCGTCAGGTTGCCCAGGCCAATACACGTAAATTTTCTTGAGGAATCCAAAACCAGAGCCTTCGGATAGCCAAAGCCTGACCCGCAGGGCAGCTGTTCGGTGTGGGGAAAACATCAATCTATTGGCGGCCTGTGTCCAGTTCATCGGATACTACGCCCTTCGAACGGGGCCAAATGCCCAAGGTGCCCAGTACACCTCTATACTTAATTGAGCCGGTGACAACCGCCACAACCGAAAAGGTGTGTGTGTGGTTGGTTTGGAATCAGGGTTTTTAGCCAGCTCCCCTAAGTGAACTACCAGCGGCTCACCAACTTAGATTTCAGCTTTTCCTCCTCTCCCTTTGGTGGGAAAACACCGCCGCGTGAAGTCAGAGGCTGTTTGAGATACTTGGTTGTACGGGAGCATTTCGCGAGGTGCAAGGGAAGAGTGACCAGCCACCGGCCTAGACACCCACCCCCGATTATACTGAAGCTTTCTTAAGCATATCTCACTTTGATCATCCTTTACTTTTTCTCCACTCACTACCATCCTCGGCAAATATCGCGTACCGTGGCTTTGTATTTGGTGACATGCGTAACATGCATCGGTCAATGTTATCTACAGTGGTCAACCCCTTACTCCAAATGGCGACCGCGATTACCTAAAACACATTCAAATCTGACCGTTGACCCTCAACCTGGAAGACTAGCTACAACAACCGAATCCAATAGTAAAGCCAACTTTTTCATAGGCCACAAACCAAAGAATTTCCCCTTCGGTCTGACGTTCGTTCCAGCGTTCCCCCAGCAGGTACGAAGAGAGCATAAAAAGGTAGACAATGTGCAAGTATACGCAAATCATGACAGTCATCGGAATCGATTTTGAGTGATTCCGATATTCCAACGACGACTGTCAGCACTCAACATATGACATCAATAAGTGAAGTTCGCTTCACTGTATTACGCTGTACAATGATGATGTTGAATCCCGTCATTGTTTATTCGATAGTCATAGACCTTGATCCCAGCTGAACTATGATCATAAATATTTCAGGCTTCTCGCGTACTCTTAACAGAGTGTATTTCCCAACAAACAGGTCCAATGTGCAGTCCACTGTACGCATAATATCCCTTGGGAATTGTGAAAAGAACCCCTCAATCTCGATGTGAAGTTCTGTTTCGCCCACGGGATGCTCCTCTCAGCATCCTGGTCCTGGTTCATACGATTAGAGTGAGACTTAGTTCTACCGTTTGACCCACTCGTTTGTTTCATGCGAACGGGAAATTGGCGAGGTACTTCTCACTGACTGTCGGTCATATTCATCCGCGATGCACTCTTTCGTTTCTCTTCACAGGGTGAATTTAGTGAAATGAAGACCACCACCACGACAACGACCACAACCGTTTCCAAGTAAGTTTACCGTTGGTGTTGTTCGTTTCCTCAGTCGTGCTCGCATGTCACGCACATTGTTTTGCATGTTCCCCGCCCCTCACACATTCTTCCCCATAAACGATGCATCTTCATGGCAATCTTTACTACCTCTGTTTATCAACCGGTTTCCACATTGCTCATTTTCACTTTTTATGAACTGTGAGCCATGCCAGTCACATTCCGTGCATCGATCGATTGTTTTGTATGTTGACAAACGCGCAGTAGTCTCCTGGTTGCCCTACCAGATCATGTATGTGTATGTGTGTATTGAATCCAGCTCCACATACCACATACCGTATGAAACAGACCGTCAGAATGCGTACTATATAACTGTCGCCGAATAGTTTGAGCCTTTGGTTGGCACGCTTTAGGGGTTTTGAGAATCCAGGTGCTGCTCATCCCACATTTCACGCGCTTAACTGTGTGCAAAATTGAAAACTTACGGATTCAAGTACCGATTCGTTATCTATTTGGTTTCTGCCGCTTACTCCAATCCATCTTCTTTGGTCTGAGGAGGGGTGGGGGATGGAGGGTAGATGTTTTCACGTCTAATCAGTTATATCTGTCTGAGCAACCGTTGCTCTGACAGATTGGCACACTCCATCTCCTAATTAGTACCGTTGATTCTGTTTTCATTCTCTATAGTTTCAACCATTTCGACCGCGCACAAGGTGTATTAGTCTACTTGCGTTCGGACTTGAGCCTTCCGATTTTTTACTCAATTGTTCTTCACAATCTTTCTCATTCCTCGTTTGTGAGTTCATTTGTGTTCGAAAATTTGGACAAATACAGAATAAATGATGACATTATGACTGTCGAGAAACTGACAACACCGGTTTCCCGTCAAAAATTTGAGCAGAGAAGTCAGAAACATGGGTTTGCACAATAAATTGTCCGTGGTCATTTCGCTGCTGCATCTGTACTCGTGCACATCTTGCAGTCAAAGTGATGGTTTTATAGTCAGTGAGATAATAATAAATGGGCGACGAAGACAAGATCGCTCATCACAACGGACAACACGAAAATAGTGGACGAGAGAGGGTTGAGAGTCAATCACCAGAGCTAAACTAATGTAACTAACCGTTCACGTTCTTTGCATCGATCGAGTTTGAGAGTGTGAATGGCTAGAGCCTCGACAAATTTCAGTAACTTTGTGTTTGTTGTATTGTGGATGACCTGAAATGCGTGGGTCGAAGTGACGCAAAGTTTTTGTTCAAATAAGTGTTGCTTTATTGAAGACCCAAGCCCTTTCTGATCATTCGATGACGTAACAGTTTGTAAACTTGTCGTCTATTGCTTTCTTAAAGCACACCGGGATGTGTTCGGTCATTCGGTGACGTAACTGCATCTCTGTCCTACCTATGTAGATGGTTGAGCATCCACACTCAAATTGATAAAAATTAACTCAAATCATGAGGTGGGAAAGAGAACGTAGAAATGAAGATATTCGGTGTCAGTGATGGGATTGTAACTCACCACTTCCAGTTCGCTCTAATGTTTACCCTAATCTCTACATGTGGGATGTTTATGTATTCTGATTACCGTACCGTTTCTGTTCGGATCATCGATGCATGCATGGATCTTTGAAATTCCATTGCTGTCTGTCATCAGTTCGGTTCATAAATTTCATCACTAAGCTTCTCCGATGCACCCACCGTTTCGAGAGCTTGACCGACCAGGTGACTGACAAGGCGCTCCATTAAAAACAGTGTTTCCTGTCTAATTTTATGACTCTCATGTGTGTGTATGTGTTTCAGTGAGTTTTATGTATAAACCACCCAGACAGTTCCATCAGTTCTGATTTGTTTTTAGGATTTTGAGCTCATTCGAGTTAGTTGCATGCTGGTTTTTGGCTTGCAATGATTCGGAACGCGTTTCGCCTGCCCCCTTTCCGGCACACACGCAATCAAGCACACAGTTTACTCATTGACGAACGGTCACAGATGGTATGGTTAATGTGAGAATTTTTGCACGCAAAAATTTGCCGGTAAAAAAGCGTGTGTAATCGTGACTCACATAATAATAGTGCATTTTCTCCACACCAGCATCACCATGAGTGAAACAAAACTATTCCACTTCGCCAAGTAAGTTCTCGGTGCGTGCTTCACAATGACCCAACAGTGGAATTGGATAAAAGAACAATCTGACAATCTGGCCCGGAAATATTTTCGTTCTATATAGTTCAAGGTCAGGCAGGTGTTTGCATGTATGTTATGGAATGTCTAACAAACTGATCTTGTAAAAGGCGGGGGGGGGGGGGTTGCAGAATAGAGTTGAACGGAACCCCCCCCCCCCGGGATAATGAGTCACTGGCAGTATTATTCCAACGAAAGTTTACCTTGACATAATCCAGTCTCGTTAAGTGATAGAGAAAAAAAGAACATTGTCCTCATTCTGCAATGCCATATGGTATGGGTGTGGGGGAGCATCAACCAACTGGATTTTACCGGAGGCAGTAATGAGCACGCCTGAGAGGAGAGCTCATTTGACTGTACCTTAGCCCAGTTAGTCTGTTCTCGACAGTTTCACATTTGTCCTCTAACTAGATCACTGGGGAGAGCGGGGGGGGGGAGTGGTAAACTTGATGTTGCGAGCGAGCTTCACCAATCGAACCCGACTCGATCAACAAACAGTCTTGACGGACTATGCGGTGTTTTCGGAACGAGTTTTCCATCACAGTTGTGTGTGTGTGTGTGTGTGTGTGTGTGTGTGTGATGTAGACGATTATTCCAACAGGTACTTATTCATATGGAATTGTTTTACCTGAACAAATGCAAAACAAGCACCCTCAATGCAAATGTGAACAAGTAATGCATGCTAGCAGGTTCGGCATAAGCTCTACACTCAATGTTTGTGTTACATTACTTCCATATGTACACCCCCCTTCATTCCTTGAGTTTTGAGGATTATGTTCGGTCCCATCATAGTTTTTTTGTGAATTAGGGATTTTACCGAAAATCACGACACTGGTATCATGTTCCTTGGACTCAGGTCGCTTAAATTGATACGAAATACGGTCACGCTGTTCACCCCCACCTCCGTACTTGCTCCATTTCAACTGTCGATCGAAACGAGTCAGCGGTCGATAGACTACTACTACACGTTACGACCATACCTAATCGTCGTAACTGCGATCATCGATTAGAATGTGGAGCCATATTGACCGAGATTTCTATTCATGATTTTATGTAACCTACGCTGGAAAGATTTACTAGGCACTTAAGCCAGAAATACCAACCTGCCTGGTCTTTTTTTTTACTCAACTGAACACCTATCCCTATTAATTCCACCGTCGAAACAATTATAAGCTGTTCAGTTTACTTTCGTCAAAATAGAAGATGATGGTGGTGGTGTAGAACAACGTTGCGTTCCATCTGGTTGCTCTCCGGATTCTAGAAAACCGTTGTCATGCTGGTGCGCGTGGAGAACAAAGGAAATAATCGAGAACATGCGGGAGGTAGTTTGTTCATGTATGTCTCTGCGTGTGTGTACTATTCCGGAGTACCCACTTATTGTTAGCATCAAACGGGTATACGGATGATACCGCACCTGGCAGTTGTGCGTCTTTATGATCTGCCTAGTCCTGAACATATTGATATATAAAACAACTGTCACTGCGAGGATGCCCAAACATTTACCCATCAGTTCCTGTCATTCGGAACTGATCTCCTGCCTACCATGAACACGCATCATTTCTCCCATATTGCCCCCATTTTATTACTGTTCCTTTTTGTAATTTTTGTTTCCAGACCAGAGAATTGAGGCAAGTTTGATCAGGTCGAGCTCACTAATCTCTATTCCAATTATCGTGGTCTAATGCTTTTTCAGGGTGTGCTTCTTTTTTCACTCAGTTGCTTTCTTTTTTTTCGCGATTTGTCCATTCTGACTACTACCGCCCCGTTTTTCCTGCTGAGGATACGCGGATGTGGAAATTTCACCGCGCTTTGTCTGACGGAATTGGTGTTTGTACTCGGAATATGGAATATTGTGTAACTCGTCCCGGGTTTTCCCTAGTGTAGCTTTTTTCCACGTCTTTTTATCGCTCCATCTGCCTCATCTGGACTCATGCTTCACTAACTTACTTTTCTGTAGCGTTTTGCTCAATTTGCTGATCCTACTTTTATCTACCTGCTCTAACTGTTGATCTAGGCCAATTCGGTGCCATTGGTTTCATTAATATATATACATGACTATCCATCCGTGCAGCGTGTTCATTAAACCTCACCACCTAGTAGCTGCATACAGACCACTTTATCGGCCAGTTTCCATCCGGCCATGAGATTGGGGACAATGGATCCTTATTGCACCAAACAATTTGCATGCGTGATCGATTATTTTCTTTTTCGTCAGTCTCAGCTCCATGCGAAGGTATATCCGTCCAGCTAAAGTCAACTTGTCACTCAACCCCAGAAACATCGTAGGGCTGTTTAATTCCAATTAGGAATGTTCGGTAGGGTATATCCACAACGGTCCGAACGCGGTCTCGGGGGCTTGGTAATCTGACGTGCACCAACCACTTTGGTCAACCGGGTGGCCTGTTAGCAACTGGACGTGCAATAACACTATCTGCTAGTTTCCGAACCATTGCATACACCGATAGAATCCGTCTTGGGCTCTGGGAGCTTTCAGTGGCAGTTCTGGCGTGTGGTAAGCGCGTGTCGGATCGTTCAGCCCTCGTGGCGGGGTTTGAACCCTTTCATGAACAAACCATATCATCCGAATTGGTTCGTATAAGCAAGCCTCCAATGGGCTTTTCTTTGTCCTCCTTATTTCAAATGTCCCCTTCTCGTCCCTCGTTCAATATGCCTGACTGACGAATACTAACCGGTAAACTAATCGAGCATTGCGGGTGCAAACACTAATCAAATGGGGCAAAGTTTATTTTCGAAAATCAATACGTCGCTGTTAGAATCGGAGATACGAGAAAAACTGAACCGTTTCACAACAGCAACAAGAAAGTCGTCAACTGGAATCTCCCATATAGAGGGGACTTTCTCACCTAGAGAGCATACGTCAGTTGTATGTCCGTTAGAAACTAATCAGAATATTGATATCGATTTGATTTTGCGTGTCTTGGTGATTGTAAAATAGGATCAGTTACATTCACAGAGTGGGGGGTTGGTTTTCGGTGTGCTAGTAGACTAACAGCATTTCGCACAGCTGGCTTAAATGAATAGTACGCCATTTCTGAATCACATACACCTGGGATTGGATGCGATCCGCAAGACGAACACTGTTCTGTTCCACGGATTTTGTATCTGTGACATTCTCACCCGATGACGGCTGCATTTCACCTCATCGCATGTCTATACTTTATGTGCGTTTCTGTGGTTCGTGCAACTCATTTGAGGTGTTTGACGTTATTTTTTTATCGTATAACTTTACCCGGGGTCTAAATGAAAAATCATTCCTGTATTGAATCAGATCACCTCATGCTTTTTTATTGGCAAGTCATGTGTTGTTACCGTAATGGACGTATGCCTTGATTGCTGCATGTAACCGTGTTCTTGCACGAATATAGTGCAACCATTGTGCCCTTGGATTTCATCGAACCGTTCTATTTCTACGCTCTTGTCCCTTGCATGCATGCATGCATGATTTTACACCAATAATATTCGCGTTTTTTCCATCCGTATGGTTTTGTTAACCGTTCACTGTGACGGTCGTTAATCCGCAATCGGGTTCACTAGTTTAACCTATGATGTTTCCAGATGACTAGATTAGAAGAATTGTGATTGTTAAAGTTCACACGCTTTGGTCACACCGATTTGACAATTCAACAACTCGTTTCTGTTCACAGTTCCTATATTCGATCAGTTGGACATACATTATTTCCGTTTTTGTTCCTACCGGCATTTGATCTAACCGGTATTCCAAACGATAGAACAAATAATTCCATGGTGTGTGTATATGCCCCTGTCTCAGCACTCTGTGTGTGTTGATGTTGTATATTCCAGCCTCGTGTTTCTTCGACTGATAAGCAACTGCATGCGTGTGTGGCCACACACATGTACCGCCACGAATACTCTCTATCTACTCATTTGGTGATGTGATTTCGAGGTTTACACCTCATGGGTTGGTTGAATAGATTGTGGAGAGTGAATGTTTACACGGTGCGTAGAAAGGATCCGAATCGGATTCAGCATTAAGTGTTCGTCGGTTTGGCGGACATGTCCACTAGCGTAAAACACTAGTGATTTAAAAAATGTGAAACACTGTCTCACCGACTCCATAGTTTCTTGCATAAATTAACCTACAAACTGCATTGATCATCGTAATCTAAATTGTCATGGGCTAGATTTATCGATCGATTCTGACGGAATGTGATCACCTGCGTGCACGCCCAAAATGTCCTCGTGCGCGCACACACACAAGTATGTGTTGATGTGTGCTCTCCTGTGCCACTGTGCACATGAACATTTCTTTGCACCTACCTGTGCGTATTAGACAGTCACAGGTCATATGCGCACCTTTTAACGTCCACATTCCATTCAGCCTGTTCGCACAATTTCGACGCCACCACCACCACATCGCAAGTTATCGTGATACCAGAGCTGCTACCATATCTACCGAGTGATGCTCAGTGTTATGACTGATCAGGGAAGAACACAAGTCACTGAACTGGGACGGGCTGACTGTGCTTGTGTCAAAACGATTTACAGGGCCACACATTTGAAATACAGATCCGTATTGACAAAGTATTAAAAATCGGTTCTCGTGGCTCGGATGAACTGAATTCTTCTCCCCTGTTCGCCGAGCTTGGCAATTTGTTTGCAAACGTTTCATCGCCAGCCGAGGTGACATTATCAGTTCTTGTGAAGTGGCCGCTTCAAGGACGGCGAAAATCGACCAGTGGTCACGTGACATCTGATGCGAGTGAACTGCGGCAGAATTTGAATTCTCCCTACACTCAGATGTGCCGACTGATACTTCTTCAACAGAGTATATATGTTCAAAATTGAAATGCACTTCACCACCACCCCAACCCAAATTCGACTCAGGGATGGAGTGTAATGCGCATTGGACTACAGTTGACTTATGGCACGATGTCTATTGACGAGGGCTGGGAGTAATATTCACTCCCCCTCCCTGTCCTCGTGACGCTGTGTTGCACATCTTGTTGCTCTGTCGGTGTAATCTGATTGATAACTTCTTCTCTCTTCCTTCATTTAAATTGATGTCGCGATTTTTTTCCGAAAGTCGGTCGGGACTGGACTTGATGACTTCTTTGTAATCAGTTCGATCCGACCAAGTCGAAATGTGCTACACGCATATCAGTTATCAGGTGAACTTATCGATGCCTCTGTTGATGAAACGTCACCCTAGAGTTGCGTTCGTATTGGAGTGCCACTGGTATGCACAACCAGGATGGCAATTTGCCATTACTTGAGTCCAGTGTGCATCGCCGTGCAATTGCGCTCCTGTAGCCATCTCGATCGCAATCCGATCCAAACGAAACGGCAATCTTCTTAGGGTTGTTGTATAGGCGGAATGGAATCGTGTGCAACAAAGAAATATCAGACTGTTGTTAACACGACTGGCAAAGCAAACCCCCGGTAGATTAACTCACGCGTGCATGCAACTTATCAGTTCCCATCCTCCTGGAATCGTTTCTCACTTTCGATTTCATTCTCACCGAAAAATTCATTGAGCTCGAAAAAGTTTGATTCGAACCTTAGGTCCGAGCTCATGGGTATCCGACGGTCCGGGACCGATGTTGACCGGCCCAGCCATGACGACAAAAACTTTACACAGTTCTGTGCTGAACGGAACTTACGGAGAACACAAAGTATAGATCTAACGCTAAGACGCTGGTTCGGTTCATCTCGTTCCGATCGCATTGTGCTTTGGACGAGGTGAGTGCTACCCACCACGGANCGGAGCAGATGTGGTCAGACCGGAAAACTAGTAGGACTCGGATGTACACAGGGGGAAAATCCACTTGCATGATGAACTGATTGGTTCTAGCATGGCCCTAACTCATAATTCGGGAAACCCGTTGACAGTTTTCTCCTTTTTGGTATGCATGCTCCGAATAACGTGCTCCTAAACGGTGAATCCTTGCTTTTTGTTTCGTGTACATAGCTTTGTTGTACCCGGAACGCGGTTTGCCTATAATCTTGCCCATCTTCTAAGGACCAGCGCGACCTCTAGTTACCCGTTCGGTTTGGTTTTTACAACTGTCAACCGTGCACTTTCGTACGCTGGTTTTGGTTGCTACCTTTAGGTCGCCCATTTGGATAAAAGAGCAAAATGAGGATTGTAATGTTCAGAGCCAAGTCAAAGAGAAGTCAGGGAATTTGTATAGACTGGGTTTGCAAGAATATCGCGTAGATGCACGAGCGCCACTGTTTGCGACACTCAGCCATATCACTCAGTGTATGTAACCACCGGTTACCATGATCTCGAGGTCCCCACCCCGGGAGCCTAACGGAACCTATGTTACCCAATCTCCTGGTCAGGGTTTTCGTAATCTCGTGCCAGGTTTTCGTTTGACTGCTCTTCATTTTTTTCCATTCGCTACTTGCCTCGGCAAGCATCACGCGCCGTGACAATCTATTTGATATCATGCGTAACACGTGTCCCAACCACCAAATCCTATGTCCATTTGACGACCGTGATTACCTAAAACTCAGCATCCCTTGTTGTCATCGTGCATCGACGGATGCGTAGCTTTCCCCGATAACAAAAGGTACTAACTGAACGGTTAAATGGACTGTGTTCGTTTGATCTGATTTGATAGTTCCTCTGCCTCAGGTCTCACACACTAGACACGGATTGTTTACTGCGATTCCATAGAAAAAGTTGGAAATCGATCGAAAACTATCATTAGACATAACTGCAACGATTGCGATTCGTTTCGAAGCGATCCGTTGTACTTCATTTAGAATGAACTGATTTGATTCATGTTGATACATATTGCTTTCCGGTTCAAGCACCCAATAACCATGCGGCTATTTTGCCTGTCTATTTGGATGGTGAGTAGAGGAAATGCTGGAACCAAAGTTCAGTGAATTCGTGTTGACTACGGTTTCTAGGACACAGAGTACATGCACAAACACTCAGTCATATCGCTCAGTAGGTCGCCAAGGCCCCAATGCAACCTACGTGAGCAAGTCCTCTGGGTTATTGTGTTCGTATCCTCATATCAGGTCTTAGTTTGGTCCCTGCCCGTTACCTGTCTGCGTGAACATCACGTGTATCGCGTTGTTCAATTCAGTTTCCTAGTTTTCTGACCCTAACATCGCCCCTGTCAGTGCGTGCTCCGATTGATTTGATGTTCATATCTTATAGATTGGACTGATTGGCGATTCACTATTGTTTCGCAGATCGTTTTTATGCGTTCTTTGCTCCTTCGTTATGTAAAAAGGCTTGTCTATCTTCAGTACTTCTATTTATGTTCACAGCTATCGCAGGCGAGATCCGAGGCATGTGCTACGCAGCTTACATCCCGTCCAACCCCGTGAACGAGTTGCTACGCGCGATGATGGTTCCCGAGTCAAGTCGCGTGTCACCTTTGTCTGATCCACACGCACACACACACATCTGATTGAGGCGAATTTACAATTCCCCTCCCCCTCCTCAGCGGTGTTACCCTATCACACATATCCTATCCTCGTTTCCGGGTCTGTGATTCGGGGACTCAGAAATT